CTGAGGACAGCTAGAGGTAGGCATATCTTATTCTGTCAAATCTTTCTCTGATTCGTCTCTAGTTCTGCCACTCAATTAGACATCACTTTCAAACATGGGTGCTTCCTGCTATAAACTAACTTTTACCTTTATTGTTTGGGATTAATGGCATGCACCACCTTGCCTGGATCTAAGCTTTTCCTTACCTGAAACTTGCTTTCTACCAGTCTGGCCTTGAACTCAGATCTGCTTGCCTCTGTCTCTTGGATTAAAGGTGTATTTGTATTTCAGCCGGATCACACAGACCCAGAAGATCTTGGATGTGATCTCTTGCCAGAGCAGCCATGTTCTGAATTAAAATTTTTTTGCAGATATGTGCCACTAAATCCAGCTAAGAATCAAACTCAGGTCATCAGGTGTGCAAACTCAGGTCAGCTGGTGTGCAAATTTAATACTTTTACTCCTGAGCCATCTCTCCCACTCTAATCTTTATTTCCTCAAATTTTTCCCTAACAAATTCTGTCAAGCCTTATTTAGAGAAAGGCAGCATGCTTGGCACCTCAGGAAATACAAAGTGCACACCATTCTTTGTAGGACTTTTGTCTTGTGTCCCTGATGTTTTTGAGCTGGGATATATTTGATTGACAGGTCTTTGTAGAAGCATTAGTAGGAGTTTGGTCTACATTTTGTTAGGTAGTCCAACCCAAGTCAGGAAAGGCTAATTGTCCTGGTAGGCAGGCAAGCCTGGGGAGAAGACCTGGTGCAGTCTCTTTTTGACACGATCTGCTTCTAAAGCTGCCCAGACACTTAGCACTGACTTCTTTGGACTCAGAACTTGCCACATTTTAGTTAGCCATCAGCAAACAGGTGGCCTGGGAATAAGAAGAGAAAACTACCATTCATGTGTTCACCTCAGTTTCACTGAAGAAAGTGCTGGGGGTTCTGCCCCCAGAGAGCTTGCAGGTTAATATAATAGGAGAGAGAATGAGGAACAGAGGGAAAGGAGAGAGAGAGAGAATATGTTTTCATACAAAACTTGATTTCTGTTTGTTCTGTATGGAGACAGGAATGACTTTTTTGAGAGGGTATAGGCAAGCTAGGCCTTAAAGGTGCAGAAATATGTCAAGCTAGGGAGAGGGGTGTCAGAGAACACAGCCTGAGAAGGGGTCAGAGAGAAAGGTCTTGACTCTATGTGGAACTGTTGAGCTGCCTCCGCCTAAGGTTCAGGGGAGAACTGCAAACCAGGCATGTAAGGAGGGCAGGACCTGAATTATCCAGAACCTTGTGCTTCTTTAGAGAAAGGAATAGATATGAAAATAGGTACAGTCTACAGAACTGGTGATTAAGAGAGATATGGAGGGCAATGGTGACATTCATTTGGGGCTGCTGTAGTCCTTACTGGTCATCTTCTAAACTTTATGAGTGTCACTGTCCCTGCCTCACCCTGAGTTATTCTCTCCTTCGGGACTCAACCCTCAGGCCTTTGAAGGCCCTGTACTACACACTAGTGCAGTGTGGGAAGAGACAAGGAAAGATGAGCTCAGGATATGGAAAGCCCTGGTATGGCTAGAAACACCGCTGCCTGGTGCCTGGGGTAAGATGGACAGCCTAAGGTTGCTCACAATCAGATGGAAGGAGACTTTCAACTACAGCTTATCTGGCACCAACGCCTTCTAAGTTCTTACTTTCTTTTTTCTTCTTTTTTTTTGGCTTGTCATTCTAGAGTGATGTGTTTGCCTCTCTACATTTTCACTTGTAAGGCACAAAACAGTTCAAATATATGGGGTTTTTCTCTCCAAAATCAAGCTCTAACACATGAAACTTGGTCTTCTCTTTCTGTTATTTTTTCTGAGATTTTAGGGGTTTTTTTTGGGGGGGGGTATGGTATTCTGCTTGGGTAGCTAATAAAATGCAAGCAGATTGCTAACATTCTCAGCCTGAAATATGTGGGAACTGTCATCCCAAGTTTTCTAAACCCAAGGCATGCTGTTGGCTAGTAATGTCTAGCCTTATCCAGGATTTGGTAAAAGGCAGATAAGAGCTTTTTATTGAAAATACCCAAGAGCCCCTGTGTTGGGCTTTAGAAAGTGACAAGCTGGTGTTTTTTGTTTGTTTGTTTTTTGGCGTTAGGCTTGAAACCTAGAATTCTAAAGTAACTAAGGGGGAAAAAATCAAAGAGCTGTCAATCTGCACAAGAAGGAAGTAAACTGTCACAAGCATCCCATTAGTAGGCAGAGGCTAAGGTCAACACAAGTCAAAAGAAAGCCTGGCCACTTTTACTCTAAGAAGCTAATGATTTCTTTCCCACGGCTCTTACAGCTCAAATGCTTATGGCCAGGTAAGCGGCTCTGTGAGGTCAGAGAAAGCTTCCTCGGCCTCATACCTGATGGTCTTTGGTTTTTTGAAACAGTCTTACTTTGTAGCCGTGGCTGGATACTATGTAGTCTGGGATGGCCTCCTACTTAACTATATAGCTCAGGCTAGGCTCAAACTAATGGCAGGCATCCTGCCTCAGCTTCCCAAGTGCTGGAATTACAGGCATGCACTACCACAGCTTTTGGCTGACTGGACATGATTCCCTCTGCCCACATTCAAAAGAAATGTCTAAGAGTATTTGGCCCTATATCAGTAAACCAGCAATTATCCACAAATCCAACTGAGGGCAATCATAAGATCTCAACAATTTCAAAAAATACTGGTGTACATCAAACCCCACAGAACATGAAAGAAAATAATTGTCATCTGAGTACCAGCTGCATGCATGCCATGTTGCTTAGATACAGTACACAAGAGGAGATATGTCAGAGAATTCCTTCGGTGATACCCATGAGTACTCTGAGTTCCTCCTTGCTTTCTGCTTTTCTTTGATATTAGCTGAGACGTTTGATCCTTGCCAAATTTTATGAAATCAATGTTATTATCCTTAGTTTCCAGGTGAGAGTGATTGAGGCTTAGAAGAATTAAGTCAATCAACTTCATTTGGCTATCAAATAGTGACACAAGAATGTGAACCCTGGGTGTGTCTTCTAAAAGTCCACATCGTTTCACCGTGGCACATGGGTGCCCCACTGCCACCACACACAGTCCTTCCCCAACCCCAAGTCTGGTTTAGCAATGCAAGCAACTTTGGGAGTTTGCCATAACTGTTAGTGAAATCCCTCTCCTGCTTTGGATCAAGCCCAGATCGGAATAGACTAAGCCTGCCACCTTGAGGCAGTCCTGTAGGTGAAGGGTGTGGACTACATTAACGGGCAACTGGATGGCATGTCCCTGTGCCTTTAGCCAGCTGTTGGCCGGGCCCTCTGTGGGAGGACAAGCTGACTCCCACACATCCCCAGAAATGAAAGAATCTATCATAGCCCAACATCCGAAGAGGCAATCTTCATCTTTATAGGAATAAAATGAAGAAAGAGTGGCAAGTTGTAATTTTCTTCTCCTTCCCACCCCCGAACAATCTAGCTATATATTTTGCATGTGCAGCGCATTTGGGCATGACCTATGAAGGTAATTTCTATTCACTCGCTTGGTTTTGAGTGAGGGAAAGTCATGTTCAGAGATTCTGGTAGCACATAAATTAAAGCCTGAGCTGACTTATTGACATTCTGCAGCTGTGCAGATCCCACCCTAGGCTTCCTCTCATCAAAGGCTGTACTTGTAGAGCCAGTGCTGACTTATTAATAAAGATCGGGCCTTTATTTGATTATTTATCTAATCAAGATTCATCTTCAGTCTAAGCTCATTAAGCCTGCTGCTAATGGAGGGTGCTTGAGGTGAAATTACACTCAGTGTCACGGAGTCCAGGCTTCAGGGGCCAAGACAGGGAGAGCACATGGTAAGCACAGTAAGCTCCAGTCCCGGGGTGGGGCAGTGCATGTGAACTGTGTGCTTACCAACGAGAAGAGGCACATTTCACAAGGTTAGCTTTGAATGCGGTGATTAAACACACTCGGCAGCAGAGCGAAGGTGACAGCACTCTCATTATCCCAGACAGTCAAGAGTGAAAAGCACTCTGCTGTGTCACACGGGGGCAGCATCTCTGAAGGACCTTTCTGTGGGACTTCGGAGTTAGAACCAAGCTGCTGGCGCTCTGGGTGACTTCTGTCTAGACTGCTTGTTTCGCTCCCTGGTCTAACGTGGCTGCAGCGCAGGCTAGCCCCAAAGCAACACTCCTGCCTCTCACAGGGGGAGCTCGTCATCTTCTTACCTTGCAGGGCTCTGCTGCTGCAGATAAACCCTCTTCTGCTTGACTTCTTGGCCAATAGTAGGAATTTCCATTTTTTTGAAGGCTAAGAAATGTCCCACCACCACTGCTCCACACTGAAAGTGGCCCTGCCCACGAACACAGAGCCACTCTGTGGCCAATGTGTTTTCTCCTCCAAAACACAGCAGTTCAGACTCAGCTTCATAATAGGCTAGATTGTTCAGCTAAGCATATAAGAGAGAAGGCAGTGTCCTGAGTTCATAGTCTCAGTCCTCGTGTTTATGCTGAGAGAACTGGCTAGGTAACATCTGTAAAGAGAGGAAACCCCTCCAGTCTTTATTACCTTCAAAAAGTGGCTTAAGACCCACTTATTGTGAAGTACGAAGCTCCCATTGCAGCCCCCCTGGATTCATTGAGTACTGTATGGCAGGCTTAGTCATGAAAATGTGACCTTTGCCCTCCATGAGCTTACAGAACCCAGACCCAGAGAGGCAGGGAATACAGTGAGGAAGGAGTGACCAGGGAGAACATGGGGAAGGAACATTTCTTATTCATTCATTCTTTCCTGACACATGATGTGTCAGGATCTCCGGGAGGTGCTGAAGGTGGGGTCAGAGAAAGAGACAAAGAAGCGGGTGATGATGAAGGTGCTACCTGGCTAATTCTGTAGAGTTAAGTCTAAGTAGCAATGAGGAAGAGAGGCAAGGAGGCTATATGATCAACTTCTCAGCGAGTGGAATCTATAATAAAGGCTGTAAGTATTTTTTTATTTTTGGATTTGTGATAAACATATACCCCACTGATGATAAGCAGTCATTACCCCATATATGTAGTAGCTCTTCCAGGACCATTCTTCCAGGGGGCTGGTACAGCCAAGGCCAATACTTTACAATCCTCCCATGACATACAAAGATCAGCGGTAGATCTGAATGGAGGGAGGTAACAATGAGAATGATTGCAAATATGAGAGTGTCCGTTCTTCCAGGGAATCTGCCTCAGTCTCTGGAGCTGACCTGTAAGTCAGGAACCATGACCCTTTTGTCTTGGGACTTAGGAGGTATCTTAGTTAATTTTCTACTTCTGTGATAAAATACTATGACCAAGGCATGTTATAGAAGGGTTTATTTTGGATTGCCATTCCAGAGAGATAAGAGCCCATTTCCATAGAGGGGAAGCTTGAGAGCAGGCTAGCATGGCAACTGGAACAGCAAGCCAAGCGCTCACATCTCGAGCTACAAACAGGAAACTGAGAGCAAGCTGGGAGCAGCACGAGTCTTTGAACTCTCAAAGCACACAGAGATCCGCCTGCTTCTATTCACCCAGTATTGTGATTAGAGGTGTGCACCACTATTCCCTGCCTTCGCTCCATTAATTTCTTAAAAAGCAGGGGCAAAAGCCTTATCAATCTTTTAAAACTCTTTATCACTTACCATTATCTTGGCAACAATGAACATTTAGTGATCACTTGTTGAATAAACCATGGGCTAGTAAGGGAGGAGCCTGGACATTTCACCTTCCAGTCTTTCTGGTCTCCCTCTAATCTCAAACCTGAAATTTACCTAAGAGCCCTTCTTTTCAAATGAAAAGTATCCATGCAAGTGAAGATGAGAAGCCAGCTTGCAATGATGAGTCATAAAAAAGATAGTTCTTGATAGCTACATCAGTGAGCTCATTGCTCACAATGAGGCAGGTGTTTGAGTCATTCAACCAATATTCTTACTGGAAAGGGAGTACTTTATGAACCAACATTGCAGGATCTATGCGGAATAAATCTTATGCCTAAGCAGTAATGGGAAATGCTGCATTACAATGACATTAAACTTGTCTGTGAAACATATGGAAGACATTGCTGTCACTTAGAAATTACCTTTGAAATAGGTGACAAAGAAAAGTCAAGGCCATCGGGCCTGTGCTGCCAACAGTGCTAGGGGAGGAGGATGTCCCCTGTGAGGCTTCTCCTCCCAAACAGCCCATTTCTGTGCTTCATTCTCTTAGGTGGAATTGGCTGTGTGGGCCGAGACAGGGGACAAGTTCGGAAATGCCTTGATGTGGTTGAGATCTACAACCCTGATGGAGACTTCTGGCGGGAAGGCCCGCTTATGCCGACTCCCCTCCTCTCACTGCGAACCAATTCCACCAGCGCAGGCGCCGTGGATGGAAAGCTCTATGTCTGCGGGGGATTTCACGGAGCAGGTACCGGCCCACCTATAAATATATTGTGAACCTTTCACCTCCACTATCTGACTTGATGGTCAGAGCTTGTTCTCCAGAGTAGTGAGACACTGGCAAGAGTCTGGCTTTCAGAGCCCAGCAGCCTGCAACAGATCCCTAGATTCTCTGGGGCTTCCCCTCCATGAAATGGTGAGGACTGTCTGGGTTCAAGTTTATAATACATCTAGTACATGGCAGCCACTGGACCCATAGTAGTTGAGTATGAAAAGAAAAGAAGTAGAAGAGGAAGGCAAAGAAAGATTTCCAAACAGGAGGGGCCTGGAAGCAGAGGAATGGCTGGACGTGGTGAGTGTTATGTTTTCAGCTACCAATTCGGAAGACCCTTACGCTGCCCACTACCATCGAGTGAAGTAAATTCCTCAAAAGCATTTCTAAAATGATGCCCAGTGTACACACTTACTACTGAGTGTACACATCCCATAGCATCATTGCGTTCCGAAGCACGGTACAAAGAGGCTTTTAAGCATGCACAAATCTAGAAGCCAATGTCTCTAAAGCCTCATTGCATCAGTGAATAAGGCAGAAGAATGCCTTCACAGTAGACTGACTAGCTGATTCTGACCTCACCAACTGAAGTGTTGAGCCAATATATACCCGTGAGACACATGCCCCAGAGCACATACAATTTTGAAAGAACTCAGATTAAAATAAACTTGCCTTCATTTTGTAAGTAGTTTTGTAACTAACTTAGAAAATGAGACTTTCATTGTGAATTAGAAAAGACTTAGTGAGTTGGGGATTTGGCTTTCTCGAGAAAGTACTTGTCTTGCAAACATGGAAACCTGAGTTCAATCCCCAAAAACACATGTTAAAAAGCCAAAAACAAAACAAAACAAAAAAAAGCCAGAAACATGGTGGAACATTCTTGTGACTTCAGTGCTTGTGAGATGGGAGGCAGAGACAGGCAGATAGCTGGAGCTACCTGACCTAGCCTAATTGGCAAAGTTCCAGACAAGTAAGGGTTGTTTTAAAATTGTGTTGCAGTTTCTCTTTTAACACAGCTAGCGCCCAAATAATTGAGACTGAACTATTAAATTTGTTTAATAAGCTTTACAGCACAACAACTTAGCAATATAAGTCTACATGAACCCTTTAAACTAGTCTGGCTTTCTCTTTGCCAAAATTCCCAAGACACTTGCATTTTATGGCTTTCTCTGCTCCAGCTATCATGTCTGCTGGACTACTCCCATTGCTCAATGCCAATTCCTCTCCCCCCCCCCACTCTCTACTCCTCTTCCCTCCTCTCCTGGCTGGTAGGAAGTCCAGCCCTATTCTCTACCTTGCTCAGTGACTGGCCATTAAGATGCTTTGTTGGCATATTAGGGACAATTGGGGAGCAAAGTTTAGACAAGAGATTCTCAGAACAAGGACTGCAACCAGATATGGGGCATAGAAATCAGCATTTGAATCTGCACAGTGCACAATAACGTTATGCCTACACTCTCAACACTGAGGATATCCTCTGACCTACACACACACACACACACACACACACCTTCAACGGCAACCAAACAAGAAACTTAGAAGATATATCAGTCAAATACAGAAAATTTTTGTTCTTTAGTCAAACCTCTCATGAAAAGGTGCTTTTCAGATAGTCTGGACCAGGGTATTAAAGGATATTAAGGAGTTGTTTTAGGAATGATAATAGTATTGCATTTTATATAAGTCAAAATAAAAAGAATATTCTAGACAATTAGAAATTATATTTAGGCCAGGCATGGTGACACATGGTGGCATACACCTGGAATCCCAGCACTTGGGAAGCAGAGGCAGGTGGATCTCTGTGAATCTGAGGCCAGCCTGGTCTACAGAGCGAGTCCAGGACAGCCAGGGCTACACAGAGAAGCCTTGTCTTGAAAATATATATATATTTAAGTATGTGCAGGTGAAAATGATGTAAATATTTGCAAGTGAAAATGATGCACTATCTGAAGTCTGCTCTAAGGCAGATTTGTTTTTAAATTCAAGTATATGCACGTATGCCACATGAGTGCAGGTGACCTTGGAAGCCAGAAGAGGCTGTCAGATCCCTCGGAGATGGATTTATAGGTAGTTCTGAACCACCCAACAACCTGGGTGTTGGGAACTGAACTCAGGTTTTCTGAAAAATAAGCAAGTGCTCTAAACCACTGAGCCATCCCTGCAGCCCTCCAGCAGAAGGAGGAGCCAGGATCCATTCTGGAAGACTGTTGAATGAGGCAATTGTTAGAGCTGGGTTAATGCCTTAAAGGCTATGCTGCCTTTACCGTTTCACTACTGTGTGCTGTAAAGTTCCTATCATCCATTTGTCCTTTAGAGAACTTTCCCAGAAGGTCTTTAAATTTTTTTCATTACATTTTATTTATTGTGTGCAGTGTGTGTGGGTTCGATGATTTGAGTGTGGAGGTCCAAGGCCAGTCCAAGGGAGCTGGTTGACTGTGAGGGTCCTGAGGATTGACACTTGAGGAAAAACACATAAAGCAGAGTAGCACGAAAAAGCAGGGACGATGCCAGGAGAGGCAGCAGCCTGACAGGTACAAGTAAATGCTGTGTTGAAGGGACAGGGAATGGAGAGTGAAGAGATTTACTGGAAATTAATACTTATAACAAATTGAATCTACACTAAAATGTTAGCAAAGATAGTTGAGGAAACTTCCCAGAAATTACAGAATACCATAGTTTCTTATATGACTCAGTTTACCAAAATAGCTATAGCTTGTAGCCACATACATTTGGCTACTTTATATATGTTCCTATAGTTACCATCCTTCTCCACCCCAGTCCCTTCCAACCTCCCAACACTAGGTGGGTGATAAAGAAAGTTGGAGGGGAAAGAGGGTGTAAGGAATAAGAGTAAGGAATAATTGTAAAATCAGAGGAAGAGAAATGAAGTCAGGAGTTCCAGCCTTGAAGTAACAGAACCTCTGGCAAAGAGAACACAGAAAGAGCACAGAAATGTGTCATCCACAGAGTAGATTAATAAAAATCTCAGAACTGCAGTCACTAGTCTAAAGGAAGCTACCAGATTCCATGGAAGCAGATACAAACTGACAAAGCCAAAGCACATCACTGTGACAGTAGAGACAAACAAAAGATTCTAAAATGTTCTGTCATAGGAAGCTTTTCCATTGAACATTTTAAATGCCATATTTAGCAGATCTCTGACAAGTTTGAGTACCAATTTCTAATAAGTATATCTGAGCTCAGCAAGCCTTGCTTATTTCTAGTTACTTGCTTTAGGCTTAACCTTGAAAATGTATACAGGAAACTAAATAAGACTTATTTCTGTAATTTAATCAAATTAGTACCTAAATTGACTACAAATATAGTTCTGAACATATTAAAGGTTAGTCGTCTTTAACAGTTTATAATAAAAAATATCAATTTCTGAATTGAAGCTTTTCTAGTTTCAAAATAAAATTCTTAAATCATTAATACAGCCCATAAGGAGATTGGCAACTTTACTTTGCTACTCCTTACATAATGCACCATTACAGAATACTACAGTTTCTTATATGACTCAGTTTATCAAAATAGCTATAGCTTGTTTCTAGCTATTTGCTTGCTCAAGTGCCTGTAATTTTTTTTCTTAGTTTAGGGCCATTGCTCTATCAATACAGGCTTGTCAGTCAACCATTTTAAGGATAAGGCCATTGGTTTTTTTCAGCAGTGGCCCCTCTTATATTGGAAACTCCATCCTTGTGATGGCAAAGCTTGTGATTGTTCTTGATGATACGTATCAATACCTCCCAGGAACATCAACTATTTCCCTCTAATTTCATCATGAGCTGTCTCTGGGATTAGAGAAATATTAGAGTACCCCATTGTTGTAAATGATTTCTTTCCCATGAATTTATGGGCAGGTCAGACATATAGTCTCAACTTCCCTGTTGGCCCTTCTGGTCCCATTATACACTTCGTTTTATTTGAGATGACTTACCAGTTCCTACAAACCGTCTATAAAGCTTTTGCAGCGGCCATTCTGAATACCAGGATTTGGGGGAAAATGATAGTCACATTAGCTTCTGTATCCACCAAACCTTCTATTTCAACACCATTCACTTGCACTTTGGACTCTGATCAATAACCACTGTTTGCCAGAATACACATTTTCCAGTACTCCCAAATCCCCATTCTTTCTACTGCAGAAACTTTGCCCTTAATGTAGCAGCCAAGAAATTCTATCCCCTGCATTAATTTGAATCTCTTTTTTACACATGCCATAATTTTAGTTTCGTCTTTGACATCCCCATCTATAATACCTGGATGCACAATGAATCCTTGGGAAGTTAATCCACTTTTTCCCAAGCTCATCCCTACTGTCCCTGAAGGGAAAATACCATAAACTCCAGTAGTTAATTTGTAACATTGAATTTGGGGAGATAATGTAAGAGGTTTATCTGTGGCCAAATTTAGAACAGCACTGCCTTCAGTAGCATGCATGAGATCAGCAATGCTTAATTGCAGTTTTTCTGCCTGCTTATTATCTCCTGGCTGACCAGAGGGAAATGGCTCATAGTTTTTGCCGCAGAGCCTCAAGCTCTCAAGCCCCAGTTTTACAAGAGATTACCTTGGATATCTTTCTTGGACATGCACTCATTGGTCCAATTATATATCTTGCCACAATGTCCACAAACCCTGGGGAAACCTCAGCGTTCTTTTTGAGAACCGACTGCCACCAGAAACAGCTTGTTCACATCTCCAGTGGAAAGTACCATATTTCTTAGAGTGAACATACCAGACATTTTGAGATCTGGCTCAGAAAGTACCATATTTCTCACAGTTACCACACTGGGCATTTTGAGATCTGAGGCTTTTGGAAGCTTGCTCACAACTTCTTTGTAAATGGCCAGATTGACCGCAATTAAAGCACTGGGCAATTTGATATCTGAGACCTCTAGCTATAGCTCATCCTATGTTATCGCCATGATGCTTGTGAGAGCCAATACCAGTCATGTCTCTTATCTGCTCATCCTTTGGCACTGCCCTGCCTTTAAATGTCTGATAACTTCTTTTACATTCAGTATTCATGCTCTCAAACACCAAGGTCTCTATCAACACCTGTCTTGCATCAGGATCTGCTACAGCTTTGTTTACAGCTGAAACCAATCTTTGCAAGAAATCTGTGAAAGATTCTCCAGAGCCTTGTTCAATCTTAGTGAATGAGGTGGACCTTTTCCTGGGTTCCTCAACTTTACCCCAAGCTCTTAAGGCGACAAAATGACATCAAATCAAACCATCAAATAAAATCTGTTATTGTAAATCAGAATAATGCCCTTCAGACCTTTCCATTCTTGGGGAATAAATTTTTAGGGGGTAGCCCAGTTACTTAATATGTGTTTAGCAAAAGGGGAATAATGCATTCTGTAGGAAAAACACCTCTTTCAAACAGCTCTGATCTATCATTGCTATAGGACACCACGTTATCTCATCATAATCATGATCAGCACCATTAACAGGCCTGTGCTGTACAATTACTGGGGGAAATGATGGTGATTTTGTAATTCCAGGACACCCCTCCTCTGGTGGTACAGTTGGCTCCAGATTAATCCTACTCTCAAAACCGGAGGCTTTGCTTTAACCCTGTGGACCTCCCTCTCATCTCAGCTGCACACCCAGATCCCCACCCACCCAGGGGCATCGGGACCTGAAACAGAAGGTTTGCAGCTCTGGCTGGGGCCACTGGTTTCTTCCTCTTTCATCCTATGGGAAGCTCCCATTCTTCTGCTCAGTCACCAGGGCTGAGCCCTTTGTTCCTCTCTTTTCCAGCGCTCTTCACTTTCTAATCACTTCCACCTCTACCCATAACTTTTCCAGTTGCATAGTCAACTCTGCAACTTTTTTATACATTTTTTTCTGTTTCTCAGATTTTTTTCATTTCCATTTGCAACTTTTCAAACTGCTCAGCCGTTCTCCAACCTTCTTTGAGACAGAATACAGAAAAAAAAATAGAAGAAAAAAATAGAAAATTCCTTTTAGGAGCAAAGCAGGAGAGAACCCAGCGGCAGCTGCTGAAATAAACTTTTTGCTGACATCCTGAAACAGAATATTCATCCCTTCTTCCCTTTCTGCTTCCTCTACAGCATTAGTAATCAGATTTCCCATTCTGCCTAGCCCTAGCCTCATGTTTGGGCACCACTTGTAGCCATACTTTGGGCTACTTTATTTGGGTCCCTATATTTACCAACCTTCTCTACCCCAGTCTGTTCCAACCTCCTAACAGTAGGTGGGTGATAAGGTTAGAGGAGAAGAGGGTGTAAACCTTTTTAGACTACGTCCTGCTAATTAGGGGTGTTGAGTTTTTGGGGGCAAGTCTGACCTTCCTTGTCAGAATACCAGCAATCCAGCAATAGCAAAAGCCACAGCGGGAACCAAGAGCAGCCAGGGCAGCAGCAGGGAAAGCAGCAGCCACTACAGGCCCTCTCGGGAGTTGCCAGAATTCCAAAAGTAAACTATCTGGCAAAATCACTCCCCTGCTAGAGCACAAGTCAAATTATAGTTAGCTGCTGTGGAGAATCTGAAGCAGCCCCATATCCCACACCTGGGATATTCACAAACATATTCACGTAACTGGGTTTTTTAAGAAACCAACATTCTCACTACAACAGCTTAACAATGTTAGCAAGGACAAGAAGGTTAGACATTTTTTTTTTTGACAGGGTTTCTCTATTTAGCCCTGGCTGTTCTGGAACTAGCTCTGTAGACCAGGCTGGCCTTGAACTCAGAGATCTGCCTGCCTCTGCCTCTGCCTCTGCCTCTGCCTCCTGAGTGCTGGAATCAAAGGCATGTGCCACCACATCTGGCTCTAGACATTCATCTTTAAATCAGTCTCTGTTAGCCTCAATAGACTTTGGGGAAGAAGAGACTCTTTGCCAGACTGCTTAGGTCTTGTTGACTCTTAAGATAGGAATATCCCAGTTTTGGGTATTTAGTACTTGGTGCTCATAGTTGTGGCCCTAATTTTTAACTTTTTAATTTATCTATTCATCAAGATTACATACTACTAATAAAAATGCCATAATGAAATATCTTCATAAAGTTAAATATTTTAAAAGCTGTTCCTTAAAATTATTCTGGTTTTTAAAAATTTATAATTTCTGTAAAACTTCAAATTTTCCTTTAAAAAAAAAGCTTAAAATATCTCAACTGTGTGCTCCTGCAATATCAAATATGAAGTACCTTTTTTATTTAAAGAGGAAGATACAAGCACAACCACAAGCTGCACAAGGCAAAACCAAGCTCCCAATAGTGCAAACAATTCAATGTTCAGTATCTAGGATTCATTCATAATTCTTTAGGCTTGGGAAGCTGCTCTGGCCCCACCCTCTGCAGCATACGTAGGCTGTCTTCTAGATCCCAGCCAGCTCCATGACCCCTTCATGTCCTTAAAACCAATATCACCTGGCTGACTCATGTTACAAAGTTTGGCTGCCGGCAATGCACATTTTCGTATATGAACACATGGAGGGACTTTGATATCTTATCAAACAAGCACTGTTTTTAAATGCTAACTTTCATAAACCTTGTTTTCAGGACAGGAATTACACAAAAATCCATCCTAATCTAAAATATCTTAAAGACCTGTTATTTCTTCCTTGATTGGGCCACACTACATGGTTACCTTTAATTAAGATGACAGTAAAGTCACGTGATATACTTCTCCTACCCTAGCAAAGATGGCTGCCAGCCATTTGGCTGCCTAAAGATGGCAGTGAAGCCATATGACATCTGCCCTCTCCAACCCTAGCAAAAATGGCTGCCAGCCACTTGGCTGCATAAAGATGGTGGCAGACCACGTGTTGTTTATATCCCAAAATGAATCATGCTAAATGATTCCTTTAGGATTATTTATACATACATTTTTAACTTTCCACCTCTTGTTACAAGTTTTGAGTTAACTTTTTTACTACAGATATTATGGATTTTTAACCATAACCAATAAATTAACAAATTTTGAGATATAGAAAATTTACGTAATTTACGTGTTAGGCAAGTAAACAAAATCAATAATCCCTTTAGCTGTTCTGTTTTACTTTCTTTTCCATGTTACAGTTCTTGACCCAGGACATAGAGACTTTAAAAGCATTCTGGGGTCTGAGAAAGAGAGAGCCATAACCCAATTCCAGAGCCAGCTTTTTCAATAATATAGAACAGCATAAAACAACTTTAATATTATCCATCTCCAAAAGACATTTGAATTCTTGTTAAACCAACTCAGTGACCGGAAGGCTTAGAGATATATTCTTAGCCATTAAAGCAAACATGGCAGTTATGTGGCTGGCAGCTGGTGGCAGCAGAAAGAGTAAAATAGAACCAAGAACCTCAAAACACAGCAAGCTCGAGCCTGATGTTATTCTGCCTCAGCTCCATGTTCGCAACAAAACTTACAGACATGTAGAAAACACAGACCCTTCTATACACATAAAACAGATAGACGGAACTTTCCCTTCCTCCTTCCGTGCTGCAATTCTAAGGGACAGCCATTCTGGTATCTGCCATAGTAGGCGGTTACAGGCTGTGGTGCTGATGTTGGAGCTCCAGATAGGGTGACTGCAGCAGAGCCAGCCGCAGGCTTCCACACACTGCTACGACTTTCCTTCAAAGCTGCCCATCGAGCCCTAAGCCTGGCTTTAGGCATTGCATTCTGCACCGCCTCACCTAGACCGGCCACAAACTGCCATCAAACCCCATACCCACAAAGTTCTGCCATTTCTGGGGTAACCTCTTCAAAACAGCACCCAGACTATCAGTCTTGTAGTTGATCCATTCAGTTGCCCCAAGTCAGAACACATAAAGATAAGATGGGCACAAACATAAGACAAGACACAGAGCCAAAATGACAACATAAAACATAAGACAATTAAGACATTAACATAAGACATTAACAATTACTGTTGTACAGGAATTTAACACCAGTGTGATCAAGAGAATTTTACAAAGAAGAGGCAGTTTCAGCCGTCCCTTGTACAACCCCTGGACTGCCTGATGTCTCCACACTTGGCCTCTCCAAACTCTAGGTCTGG